AAGTAAAGTTTATTTATTCAGAACAAAGTACAAAATAGTTTTTCATTTTGAAAAGAAAGCAGATGCATCGAATAAATGCTGTTTAAAAAAAGTCACACTTTGAACTAAAATCATAGATGGCTTTATCTAAACAGATCCCTTCTCGTGAAGACCAGATAATTTGATGATTTGTGAGACCCATATAACTGCATGTGATTAAAGCTTCATCTGTATTTATCATCTGTCACAACTTGTTAGTTTTCTCTCTAAGCACCATCTTTCTGTGGCACCGTAACATTTATTTTGTAATTTTATTTTCTTTATATCAAAATAGTCTGTGGAGGTAATGATTCATTAAAATGGCCCGTCTTCCTCACAATAAAACTGATTATAAACTGTATCAAAATTTCTACCACTTAAAAGCCAAAAAGTAAACTTGCTAAACTTAAATGTGCCTAATTTTTGTGATTAAAAAATGTTTACTAACACCTCTAATCCTAGCACTCTGGGAGGCTGAGGCAGGAGGAGCGCTTGAGGCCAGGAGTTCCAGACCAGCCTGAGAAAGAGCGAGACCCTGTCTCTACTGAAAATAGAAAAATTAGCTGGGCGTGGGTGGTGTGTGCCTACAGTCCCAGCTACTCAGGAGGCTGAGGCAGGAGGATCGCTTGAGCCTAGGAGTTTGAGGCTGTAGTGAGCTATGATGATGCCACTGCACTCTAGCCAGGGCGACAGAGTGAGATTCTATCTCAAAAAAAAAAAAAAGTTTATGTTTACTTAAAAATAGTGAGGAGAAATCTCACTATTACTAGAAAGAACAACTATGTCAAATTAATTATAGAAGCACATTCGGAGTGCGGTTTTTGTTTGTTTTTTTTTAAGAGACAAGGTGTCGGCCGGGCGCGGTGGCTCACGCCTGTAATCCTAGCACTCTGGGAGGCCGAGGCGGGTGGATCGCTCAAGGTCAGTAGTTTGAGACCAGCCTGAGCAAGAGCGAGACCCCGTCTCTACTAAACTTAGAAAGAAATTAATTGGACAACTAAAAATATATAGAAAAAATTAGCCGAGTATGGTGGTGCATGCCTGTAGTCCCAGCTACCAGGAGGCTGAGGCAGGAGGATCGCTTGAGCCCAGGAGTTTGAGGTTGCTGTGAGCTAGGCTGATGCCATGGCACTCTAGCCCGGGCAACAGAGCAAGACTCTGTCTCAAAAAAAAAAAAAGAGACAAGGTGTCGCCTTTGTCACCCAAGCTGAGATGCAGTGGCCTGACCATAGCTCATTGCAGCCTCAAACTCGTGGGCTCAAGTGATCCCCATACCTCAGCCTTCCGAGTAGCTGGGCCTACAGGCACCCACTGACATGCCCGGCTGATTAAAAAAATTTTTTTTTTGTAGAGGTGGAGTCATGTTAGGTTACCCAGGCTGGTCTCGAGCTTCTGGGCTCAGGTGATCTTCCCACCTCAGCCTCCCAAAGTGCTAGGATTGTAGGTATGAGCCACCGTGCCTTGCCAAATCCTGGTTTTTAATACCAAAAGCAGTGAGGAGGCAAATAAAATACTACAAGTCACATGTGATCATTTCTTTTGAAACCTTTTAGATGTCCTAAAATCCTATTTTTAGCAACATAAAATCACCTCGGTTACAACAGTGCATCTTAAAGCAGTGTATGAAGTGTAACTGCTGCTTTATCTTTGAAAAGATAAGCTTCTCTAGTTTAACTTTTCAAAAATTACCAATTGTGATTTTCCATTTGCATGAGTTACCACTTTTGAGAAGGAGATTCTGACATTGTGAGTTTGCTGTAAGCAGAGTACAACCTTATACCAAGACCGGCAGCTCAACTGAGGATCTACTTGCTTGTCATAAACTGCCACAACTGCAGAGAAACAAATATTGTGAATTTTTGTATAATAGTCACTCTATGCACCTAAAAATAGGCTGCAAAGGCTTAGTTTGATTTGATGCTACATTACCTCTTAAATCATTTCAGTTATTTGATCTCATGTGTATAAACACATCAGACACAGCATCATCATCCTCTTCAGCCTTCAAGGCACATCGGGTTAAGTACCTCAGAGAAAGCTCATGAATGATGCAAAACAGTTCTCAGAGATTCTTGCTTCTGCATTTCATGGAAATAGTCATTTTCCTTTGAAATATGTGATATTACAGTCTATGGTAATACCACCCTGAATGCACCCAATCTGGAAGCTTAGGTCCTGTTAATTTTGGTGGTGTGGAAACTGGAACCTCGGAGAAGAGGCCTGTAATGCCAACTAGAAACTCTGCTGTCCAAGGACATTGAGTGGAAGGGTAAAAAACTAAAAAGCACCAGAATATATATAATGGAATACTTACTCAGCCACAAAAAAATGAAAGTATGTCTTTTGCAGCAACCCGATGGAATTGGAGGCCATTATCTTTTTAATTTTTTTTAAAGTTTTTTATTTATTTATTTTTTTGAGAGTTTCACTCTGTTGCTCTCGGTAGAGTGCAGTGGCATCATCATAGTTCACTGAAATCTCAAACTCCTGGGCTCCAGGGATCCTCTGCCTCAGCCTCCCAAGTAGCTGGGACTACAGGCACACCACCATGCCTGGCTAATTTTCTTTTTCTATAATATTTTTAGTAGAGAGACAGAGTCTTGCCCTTGCTCAGGCTGATCTTGAACTCCTGGGCTGAAGCGATCCTCCTGCCTCATCCTCCCAACGTGCTGGGATTACAGATGTGAGCCACGGTGCTGGCCTGGAGGCCATTATCTTAAGTGAAACAATTCAGAAACAGACAAATAGCACCCCATGTTCTCACCCGTAAGTGGGAGCTAAATAATGTGTACACATGGACACAGAGTGAGGAACGACAGCCATTGGAGAATCAGAAGGGTGGGAGGGTGGTGAGGGATGAGAAATTACTTAATGGGTACAATGTACATTATTTGGCTGATTGTTACACTAAAAGCCCAGACTTTACCACTATGTAATATATCCATGTAACAAAACTGCATGTGTAGCCCTTACATTTATACAAACAAAACATCAGAAACTTCAGCCACGCTTAGAGCTTATTAGACCAGTGCTTCCCAAATGGTAAAGTCCATTCTCACGCCCTGCGGGTTCTTGGTAATATCTGCAGGTCTGGGGTTGGCCTGGGGCAGGGCCAAGCCACACTGGTTCCTGAGTCATTCTCTGGGTAATGAGGTATAATCTCCACAGTGTCATGAAATGTTTATATTTTAACATTTGATGAAGTTTACATGTGTTTATGCTCAGTTTGTCTTGTTGGCTAACCCCTAGGTATGTAATAAATACTTGGAATTTTTCACCAGACATGGTGAGAAATTATTTTTGCCCTTTAAAGCAGCGGTCCTCAACTTTTTTGGCACCAGGGACCGGTTTCATGGAAGACAAATTTTCCATGGGGGGACGGGGGGGAGGGGATGGTTTTGGAATGATTCAAACACATTACATTTATTGTGCAGTCAAACCTCGCTGCTAATGATAATCTCTATTTGCAGCGGCTCCCCAGGGCTAGCATCACCGCCTCAGCTCCACCTCAGATCATCAGCCATTAGATTCTCATAAGGAACGCACAACCTAGATCCCTGGCATGCGCAGTTTACAGAAGGGTTCCTGCGCCTATGAGAATCTAACCACTGCTGATCAGACAGGAGGCGGAGCTTATGTGGTGATGGCAGCAATGGGGAGCAGCTGTAAATACAGGTGAAGCTTCCCCAGCCTGAGGCTCACCTCCTGCTGTGTGGCTTGGTCCCTAACAGGCCACAGACCAGTACCTGTCCCTAGTATTGCTTCATAGCCTGGAGGCTGGGGACTGCAGCTTCAAAAGAATAACTCTTTGGTTACTTGTAAAATTTACTAGTGCAGAACATTTCACTCCTTGATGAATCCATAAAAATACAGCACAACTTGTATTCTTACAGTCTGTATGAAATCTTATTTTATCCTTTTATTTTCACAGGGCAATGCACAATCAGGTTGTTTTTAAACACAATAAAAGTATCATGTAAAATTGATAACAACAAGAGTAACATACCTCTATTGTTATTTTAGTTTTTTTTTCTTTCTCTGAAACCTCTGCTTTGTGTTTATTCAATATTCATCGGTAAGAATTTTAGTGCATGTACTAAGAGCCAAGCACTGTCACTTCCTGATCTGCTTAAAAACATTAAACGCATTTCTTTTCCTCCAGCAAACTCTATTTTTTTAAAAAAAGAAACTTTTCCCTTCGATAAGATTATTTCAGAAGTTGCCGGTCATCTCTGAACCCAAACTCATTAATAAGCAACAGTGGCACCACAAGTGGAAAGCTTTTGATAATGGGGTCAGTGGTTTCCCGAAACACGTGAGTTTGTTGCTATAACCCAATGACTCTAGCTGGGACAGTCTGGCTCATTTGCACGTGCACATCCCAAACTACAAACAAAAGCGTAATGCTTGTACCCATACCCAGTTCTCTTGTTGACTATACCTTGCCAGATGACCACAGACTAATTTTTATGGGGTGAAGTATATAAATATGTACATCTTTCTTACAAAGAAACATTTTAATTCTATTCCCTTTTATGACATAAAAGCTCCTTGAAAAATATGAAAGGTTTGGAAAGCAAATGCTTAGGAAGTTTTCTGATATTAAACCACCTTGTTCTTTTAATATAATCATACTCCATGAACATGTGCCTGCTGGTGTAGCAGAATACAAGTAGGATAAATCAATAAAGTTCTAGGAGTTGTACTCAGAGGAACAAAGTTTTATAAAGGCTGACAGTTTAATTAAGACAAAGCTAAAACATTTATATGTGGTAATGATTAAAACAAGAACACAATTTAAGGTGAATGGGTTTCTGAAGGCTATTATTACAAAAAGGATGGAAGGCCCCACTGTCTACAAAAACTGTGATGTGAAATTTGTATTATAGTTAATAAAAAAAAAGAAAAAGAAGCTAAAAGGCCCCAGAGAAAATGAAATATTTTTGCACAATATTTCTTAATGTCAAATTGTGTGGTGTTTATATCATTAAAATCAACTTAATTATTTTATCTATTGGCTTTCAGATGGAATTTTAGAAAATATCTAGCAAGAAAATAGTTCTAAAAGTGCTTCCTATTAAGTTCTTTGGTATAATTTGGTCATTTTGATAGTAATTAACCCATTAGGTAAGTACTTGAATGTCCATGTATAAAGGAAAATGCAATTAGGAGTACAAATATTTAGAAAACCACAGCTGAAGAATAGATTATATTTCTGACCTCACGGAAAACAGAACTCTAAAATTTTACTTGTGTTTTTGTGGCAAAGATATCCATACCGCCTACAAGAACATCTCTAACTTGATTTATATTAAAGAAATGTTACATAAAACATCCCTTTTTGATTATTTGAACTGTTCTACATACTTTTTTAAAGTAGAAGAGGCAAGTTTCAGCTTAAAGAAAGAATAATTTTGAACTTCATAAAGTTATAATCTTTTGTGCCTTCTTGATTCAGTAAGTGTCGACATCTAGAATTTAATGTCAGTTTGCAGAAGGTTAAGAATTATTCTTTTATTTCAGGAAACAGCTAATTTTCTTCTTGAAGCATTTTCTCTATTTCCTTATCCCAGTTTTCATCTCGTTTCTCTGATTCTGTCACCACTTCATATTCCTGAAGTTCCTGTTGTAGTTCTTTTTCCCAATCTGCAGAATCCTCTACAAGAAACAAAGGAGAAGGAAAAGATTCTCTCTGAACTCATAATGCTGGTGTGAACAATTCAGTCAACTTCAACGACCTACATAAAGTCCTAGCCACCGTAATTTTTAACGTCTCAGGCTTCATCACTGTGTGCACTCAGACAAACCGAACAAATTTTAATAGTGACCAAGGAGAAATATAATTAAAAAGACAAACTTGTTAATGTAAAAGCAAAGGTATCAGATGTTGTCAATAAATTTTGGGTGTTATTTTGCTTTACCCAGGCCTCTGCTTTTCCATTCATTCATTCATTTATTTACGAGACAGCGTCTCTCTCTGTCGCCCAGGCTAGAATGCACTGGCATCATCAAAGCTCACTGCAGCCTCAAACCCCTGGGCTCAAGCGATCCTCCTGCCTCAGCCTCCCAAAATGTTAGGATTACAGGCCTGAGCCACTGCGCCTGGCTGTTTTATTTAAATGGATAGTTGATATTTTCTGTATCGTTCTTTTTATCCTTAGAACAATCCATGGACCATATAGTACTATTAGCCACGTCTTACAGATGGGGAAATGGAGGCTTAGAGAAGTTAAGCAACTTGCCCAAGATCATACTACTTGACAGCAACAGATATGAGGATGGAACCAGATCCGCAGGCTCCACGGCCTATGCTTAACCTATGCTTTGATCTTTGCAGACAAAGATCCCGTCTCCCCGGAGTGGCAACACACACCAGGATCTGAATTGCCGAAGCCTGGACTCTCCCATGGGTGCTCCACCTGCTGCTTTCATGCTGGTCTTCCATGTTGAGACTTAGAGCTGCAGTTTTCCCTGTGGATACTCAATATACCTGTGTGTGTGTGTGTGTGTGTGTATGCGCGCACGCATCCGTATAGGACAATGCATCTGCTATGTAGTGTTATAAAACTGTGAGAAAACAAATTGGGTATTTAAAAAAGTAAAACTAAGATTTACTTTCATCTTTTAAAAATAAACTTTAAACTTAGTAGCTGCAGAGAAAATAAAATCAAAATGTTTTAATTGTTCTGCAGCTGCAACCTCAAAGGAGAAGAAAACACACCGTGTGTTGTGTTGGAAACCACAAATTTCACAAATATTTATTAGGCGCTTATGAGTGCTAATTGCTAAGCTCCATGTTAGGTACTGTGGGGGAATAGAAAGGGTTGTAACAGCCCTTGAGGAGCTTATAATTTATCTGGGGAGCCAAGACATATAATATATAAAAGACAATTAAGTGACTCCAGTTATAACTTGGGCAGGAACTCAGAGAAAGAACAGCTCACCTGGAGCAGCTGGCCAGTGCATTATGAATCCTAACCCAGGGCTTCTGGTCTCCGGTGAGGTCTGTTCCTAGTGTCATCACCAGTAAAAAGGGAACCTGTGCAAAGGGTGCTCTAGCTATTGCCTGCTTGCTACACGTGGGGCTCACGGCCTCCTTCCTTCTGTGTCCAGCAGTCATCTTTTAGCAGAAATCAGACAGGAGTGGTGGGGTCTGAGGGGTGTAAAGAGCCCAGGTTTTCACTTCCCCACTCAATTCCCTTCCCCCACCATCCTCTCCTCCAGAGTCCCTCCACAGCCTGCAAACAGGGTTCGGGTTCAACTTTGAAGGCTACTTTTCTAGCTGGTGCTCTTTACCTTCCCCTGGGAACAGCTGGCTTCCTGGACTTGCTGTATGCCTGAGAAGGCTTCAGGAAATGCGCTTCATCTGACGATGACTAATCCAATCCTTCGCTTTCATCCAGTAGAAAGCCAATAACTTGTCCTGATGGCCCAAAGAAAGCAGCCCCCTCTAGCTCTTTCTTTAAAATTTGTTTTCTAAAGGCAGCCTGCTCCTTCCCAGAAGCGATGCTCTTTCTGCATGTAGCAGATGGAAAAAAAAAAATCTTCTATGTACATATCTACAGCCAAGCAGAATGTCAGCTTTGAAAGCAGCAGGCTGGAGGGCAACATCTCCACCTGTGTGTTCTCTCCCCAATCCTGATCACATGTCCTTGGGGCTAAGATGCCTTGGGGCAAATAGCTTAACTTCTCCGAGTCTCAGGCTCTTCCTTCTACATTCGGGGTTTCACCAGAGGAGCTCTATGGTCAAACCAGACTCCCAAACCCTTTGACCCACTTCCGTGACTGCTTACGGCAGAGGGATGTGAGGTCAGGCCATGTTTGCTAGACTCCACCTTCTAGTGGGGAACAGAGAATAAATTTTGACACAAAATTCACAACATATTTTTGTATACTGGCTTCAGAATAACAATTTTCTACAATCAACTTTGGAATTAGGGAAAAGAACAGTTTATTTCATTGCGTTGTTTACCTTCCAGCACAGCTGTCTTCTCTTGCTTTTTGTCAAGCACTAGTTGTTCCATTTCTTTCCTCAGATCTTCCTGATTTAGGTTACAGGCATCAAAGGCATCACTGACAAACTCAGAAACACCTGGGCTAGTAGAAATTTCTTCCTCATCCTGAAATGCAACAAATGAGCTCTTGAGATGGTTTCCTAAGCAACATTTATGTGTTAGAATTCTGGTTTATGGTAGCCTCACAATCTAAGGCAGGCCAATTTTCATTTCCTTCCTCTGCTAGCTGTAAGACATGATCACTGCTCTCCAACCTTCTAACTTGCACAGTTGCTTAGTAACTAAACGAATTACCACCTAAGGCTGTTATTCTCACTCACAGTTTGAATCACTCCAGTCATTCTCTCCAATCCCTGATGAGCACATCTAGAATTATATATGTCAGTAAATTGCCTTACGTCTCAGCTGTAGGTCCTTGACTATTCAAGTACTGGACACTTCTTCAAAACAGATAAGACCCATATTCACAAGTAGTGTTAAATGGTATCAGAGATAGTTAACACAGTTACTTTCATTTGCAGACATCAACTACTAGGTACAATGTAAAACCATATTACCTCTTGAGTTTTAAGCTGAGATTTGATTACAACGGGTGGTGTTTTGGGCCGTACTGCCTCTAAGAAGTGAGAATAAAAGAGACAATAATTGCTTGATTCAGTTCTGAATGCATATTATAATCACAGCTAAAATATCCACAGTATGATAATACTAAATAATTTTCAGAAATGAGCTTTTATGTTATGCTTTCAGCTTAAGTTATTATAAGAAATAGCCATGTGAAACCATCTCAACTTCTTACTTTTGGGGATATTTTTAATGCGTCATCATAGTCCATGCCCCTTATATAGAATTTCTAGCAGGAAATCATTTTTGACTTCAGTGTTAGCAAAAGTCACTGAAGAGTAGTTCTGCATTTTCTTTTAGGATAATGAGAGTTATTTATCAAGTTTCCCCGTTGCCACGAATGCTAGAAAGTGCACACGAAAATGCAACGCTCAATCACAGCTCCTCTTTCTCATGGGCCTTGTTTTCTATTCATTAACCTTAACTAGACGGACAGTCTTTACTGAATACTGCCTTAAATTCATTTTGTTAAACAGGCAGTATTTGGTAAAATGGCATTTTCCAATAAAATTAATATAAATGCTAAAGAATGACAGACAATTGGGATACATGTTAACATCTATATACAAAATGACAAATTTTCCTGTGTAGAGCAACTTCATTACATATCCTTGATATGCAGTGTCAGATCCTTTCCTAGTAGTCTGTATAACCTGTACCTGTTTTGCTAAATCATTTAAAATTCCATGAATTAAATTACCCCACTTCCTGCGGGATAAATGTCCAGTTGTAATTAGGACCTACCTATACACAGCAGGTACACACTAAAAATTTTAAATATGACACAAAACACATTTCTTATTTTAATTATCGTCACAGCTCTCAAATAGCTGCCTATACTGTAAAGCGCTTTCCCCCACAACCAGGGGTCAAGTGTCACAATAACAAAGTGTCAAATGTTTACTAGTGCCTAGCTCAGAGCTGGGCACTTGGAACTTGGAGTAGAGCGGAGTTTTGTTCTGCTGTACGGAATACACGTACTGAGGAAGCATCAGGCTGAAAGAAAGACTGAGAAACAAAAAGGAGATGACCAAATCAGAGTGGAAGACAGAAGATATAGAAAGTCACACGGTAGAGGTACAAAAAAGAGAGGTGGGAAGATGACTGACATTTGAGAGAGAAATAAAAAGAAACAAAACGAAACGAAACAAAACAAAAACCCCCAAAACACCCCACTGGCGTGCCTATGATCCCAGCTACTCAGGAGGCTGGGGCGGGAGGATCGCTTGAGCCCAGGAGTTTGAGGCTGCAGTGACCTGGGATCACGCCACTCCACTCCAGCCTGGACAACAGAGCAAGACGCTGGCTCTTAAAAAAAAAAAAAAAATGTAAAAAAAAAAACGGATCCAAGGAATGAGAAAGGAGATAGCAAAGTCAAAAAAAGCTTGGGGAAGATATGTGTGAGCTGGGTCAGAGAGAGGTCAACAAGAGAAAAATAATTTTCTCTGGGGAAAAAGAATTTTTCTGTAAGATGATGAACATTTCTGGTACATACAAGAAGTCAAGCTCATTCGAGTTTCTACGTTAATAACAACTCTTTTTTTTTTTTCATTGATCTGGTGGTTACTTGAAAAAAAAAAAAAAAGACTACTTCTTTGGTAGAGTGCTGTCTTATCCTTGGAAAGTACCTGTGAGAGGCGAGTCCTCCTGTCTGCTGTTGCCTTTCTCCTCCCTTTCTGCCGCCTGCTGCTGGGCGGCCAGGGCGGTGAGCTGGGCCGACTGCTTAATCAGGGAGACACGGTAGAAGTAGTTCCTCCAGAACACTTCTTCCTTCACGCTTTTAAAGACAGACAATAACACATTTGAGAACGTAGGCAGACAAGAGCACACAGGGGTTATTTGTCGCAGAGGGAACTGGAATAGGGGATTCTTATTTATTTCTTTTTTCAGAGACGGTGTGTCACTATGTTGCCCAGGCTGGAGTGCAGTGGTTGTTCACAGGCACAATCATAGATCACGGCAGCCTCGAACTCCTGATCTCTAGTGATCTTCCTGCATTAGCCTTCCGAGTAGTTTGGACTACAGGTGTGTGCCAGTGCACCCGGCTCTGGAGTAGATGATTTTTAGGAGCACTTTCAAAGGAGATTCACATTGGCTTTAGAACTGAAAGCTGCACACAACAGGATAAACAGAACAGCTATCTTCTCCATAGCAGCAAATGACAAATTACAGAATGCCAACAGAACCTTAGCATTTCTTGGTATCTTTTTTTTGTTTGTTTTGTTTTTTTGAGACAGAGTCTGGCTCTGTTGCCCGGGCTAGAGTGCCATGGTGTCAGCCTAGCTCACAGCAACCTCAAACTCCTGGGCTCAAGCGATCCTCCTGCCTCAGCCTCCCAGGTAGCTGGGACTACAGGCATGCGCCACCTTGCCTGGCTAATTTTTTCCTTATATATATATTTTTAGTTGTCCAGATCATTTCTTTCTATTTTTTAGTAGAGATGGGGTCTCGCTCTTGTTCAGGCTGGTCTGGAACTCCTGACCTTGAGCGATCCACCCGCCTCGGCCTCCCAGAGTGCTAGGATTACAGGCGTGAGCCACCGCGCCCGGCCACTTCTTGGTATCTTATTGACAGCAACACTTCCCTCAGCAGAGGAAAACAGGGTATGGTTGTGAAAGCAGCACGATCAACCTGGGAGACCAGAAGCAGAGCCCATATTCTACCAATCATCTGCTGTTTTCCAGAGGATTTAAATGCTCCCCAGCAGTGAGAAGAAAGCATTGTGGGTGTTGTTCCTTATAAAATGCTTGGCAGCTTGTTAATAACCAGCAACCAGTAAGAGTGAGCAATGAGGAGTCCACTGCTCAAGGCCTCTTGGGCGTGGCTCTGGATAAAAAAAAAAAAGAGTGAGCAATGAGGCAGGAGATGGTTGTTAAAAAGATCGAAGTGCAGTTCAGCCTGAGAACTCTCAGTGGTTCTCAAACTTGCCTATGTATTAGAATCACGTGGTGTGGGGTGTTGGTGCCCACGTGGGATCAGTAAGTGTCCACACAGGGAGGTGGCCTGGAATGGAGAGTGAGAACCAACTGGGGAGAGAAGGGTGTCTGAGCAGAGCAGTGAGTGGTGGCGAAAATGGGAGACGGGTCACACACAGGGGCATTGACGGAGTAAGTAAAAACATTCAACCAGCTTTCTCGCTGTCAGAGGTGGGAGTTACAAACATGGAAAAGGAAAACATGAGACTGAGCCCTGTCATGAGGTGGCACTGTGATCACATGGTTTTCATTCCATATAGACGCAAACGAGCACACACATTCCCTAGCTGTGTCCACTGAGAGGGCATGGAGTAGTGACACTCCAATGGCAATAAGTACAAGTAGCACCCAGATCTTTCTAGGGACCATTTCCACTAAAAGGAACCCAAGCTCCCTGGATAAATGGCAGATTCCAAGGTTAGAGCAGGGAAAGAAAAAGATAAGTCTGGATTATCTTGTGCCAGAAAGCAAGAAAACATTCAAACAATGACGGGAATGAGTTAAAAGGACACAGAAGTCATTTGAATAGGCTCCCACTAGCCAAACTGGTGATAAATTGAGCGCCAAAATAAATAACAATAGCAACGGATTATACATTGCATGAGTCCATACAGATGTAAATAAATACATGAATACATGGAAAGTTTGATGAACAATGGAATATTTACAGTTTCAATGTACCTCCCCACAAAATACTGATTACTTTCAAAGAGGAAAAGAGTAACTTCACAGAAAGTAACTTTATAGAAGTTTTGTAAGAAACTTGGGTTACCTTCAAGTGACCAATATGTGAACAGTAATGGGACAAATGCAGCATGTGCTGCCTTAGAGGATTCGACAGACAAAAGGAGACTGATAAGACATGAAAACCAAGTGCAACCTGTAAGTCTGAACTGGATTCTTCTGCTGAAAAGGACATTATTAGGACAAATGGAAAAATGTGAATAGGGTCTGAGAATTAGATGGTAATAATGTGTAAATGATCATCTCCTGATTTGGGTGGGCACGCTGTGGTCATGTGGAGCACGCTTGCTTGTAGGAGATACACACTAACGCATTTGAGAGTGATGGGGCATCCAGTCTCAAAGGATTTGGAAGAGGCCGGCGCGGTGGCTCACGCCCGTAATCCTCGCACTCTGGGAGGCGAGGCGGGAGGATCACTCAAGGTCAAGAGTTCGAGACCAGCCTGAGCAAGAGCGAGACCCCGTCTCTACTAAAAAAAAAAAAATAGAAAGAAATTAGCCAGACAACTAAAAAATACATAGAAAAAATTAGATGGGCATGGTAGCACATGCCTGTAGTCCCAGCTACTCGGGAGGCTGAGGCAGGAGGATCGCTTGAGGTCAGGAGTTCGAGACCAGCCTGAGACCCCCATCTCTACTAAAAATAGAAAAAATTAGCTGGGCATGGTGGTGCACACCTGTAGTCCCAACTACTCAGGAGGCTGAGGCAGGGGGATCACTTGAGCCCAGGAGTTTGAGGTTGCTGTGAGCTAGGCTGATGCCATGGCACTCTAGCCCAGGTGATAGAGTGAGACTCTGTCTCAAAAAAAACCACTCCCCCAAAAAAGCAAAAAAACTCAAGGGTGGGGGACAAAACAAGACTAAATGAAAACATAAAATATACACGTGCACACAAACATGCACACACACCCCAAACCAAGGACACCTAGGCAAGGGCTTTGGTGACCTGCAGAGTGTGTACAGTTCCATTGGGTTTTTTAAATTTGTTTTTCCCTGGAGGAGTCACTTATTTTATGTTTTAAAAATGTTTTTATTTGCTAGTAGAAATGGCAAGGGGGTGTGAAAATGCCTCTCTACCCCCTGGTTTATTAGAAGGGATACAGGGTTCTTATAACGAGTGGAAAATTGAGGAAGAAAGCATGACAGAAAAAGACTCTGAAGGAGTAGAAGCAAATCAGTGAGAACTAGCATAACACACTGAGATTCAAGCCTATGAATCTGGACAGGGCTTTCCTTAGATGAGACATCAGAATGCACAGTTGTCACATCTATGAATGGTGAAGCTGGGCCTGGAAGTTAGCTTTGTAAGTGACAGAGGCAAAATGCAAGATTACCTATATAAGCTAGGCCAGGTAACCAGATGGAATTTGCTGCTATATGGCCCATCTTTTCTTTTATTAATTCCACCAACATTTTCCAAGTGCCACACACATCAGGCACCATGCTAGGTGCTGGGGGGATTCAGAGATGAATATGACAAGTTGTCTGCCATCATAGATGGTCACAGGAATAATCACCTCTCACTTATGAAGTTTGTACTACAGGCCAAGCAGCATTTCCCAAACTTATATGGCCACACAATTCTCTGTCTCGTAACATCTCTTCGAAGTAGTTCAGCAAGAATGAGACCTGGCTTAACAGCAGTTCATAAGGGGTCGTGTTGACCACCAGTTTAGCTGAGCAAACTGTATGATGCAGCTGCCAAAAGAGCTAATGAAATCTTAGGCTGCATTAAAAAGCGCACAAGATATGCTATGGTGTGCTCTTCTGCAATTACACAACATTATCACATTCACTCCTGAGAACTCATTTTAACAATGACACTGGCCGGGTGCGGTGGCTGACGCCTGTAATCCTAGCTCTCTGGGAGGCCGAGGCGGG